GGGAGGAGGAGGTTGTACATTGTTCTTCCCTTTACAACTTTATTAGTATTTTCTTTTTCACAGCAGAATATCGTGGAGTAACTTGTTGGATATTTTAGCAATCATAAATTGAGGGAAAAACACTTTGAACTTATACTAATCAAATCTTTAGGGATTTAACTATTGGCTAGATTGGCGCCTTATCTTATATTTAATCTATTTGATGCTCCACAATGAAAAAGTAATCATGGTCCATCGAAAGTGGAATACTGAGCCTTGTAGCCTGCTTGCTTTCTGTATGTGGAAATCCTGTTCGCGTAGCAACTTTTCTGCAGATCCTCTCTATTCTTGCACAATCAAGAAGTATGTTGCTTTGGTATCTTGACTAGAGTTAGAATGGTCTGGTTGTTCATTAGCCTATATTTCCAATTTTTCTGTGATGAAGCTGTGGAAATCACCAGTCGAATGTATCCGACTTTTGCTGCAGCTGCACTGAGGGTTCTAGCTCACTTGCCATTACCTTACTCTGCACTGAGCACCCTCATGATTATACCTACTCCATTAAGGGATGCTGTTTATGATCGTGTTGCCAAGAAGCGTTATAACTGGTTCGGGAAGAGTGATGACTGTTTAGTCCTCCGGGATCAATACTTGCTTTACCGCTTCATTGATAGGGAAGAGTTGCTGGAACGTAGCCGATCAGTTTTGTGAAGTGCTGCTTCAATGAGTCAAAGAGTGGAGGTCTTGTCATAAGGAAGTTTCAATTGACATTCTTTTGGTCTGCCCAAATATTGGAGTTGTAAATACGTAGTCCATCCATAGTATACTTCTTAATACGCTAGATATATGCATGATTGTGGAGCATCGGGAATGCTTTCATTTTGATAAGAATGAAAATGCTAACTGCTGTCATTTTGTCATTGATGAAAATACACCACGTTCGAGATAAAGAAAATCGACTGTCAAGTTCCGCAAGTTTTCTTCATAATAGATGCTATGTAGTACGTTGGCTTAGTACCCGCGTTCGTTTGTACATTGAACCGTGTGGCTTTCAAGCACCACGTTTGACAGTAATATCTTTTGCGGTGCAGAGTGTTGACTTTTTCGTTTATCTTGCTTTATTTTGTTCATCTTATGTCATTTACTTATATTGTCATTCTTCTGCATCAAAGAAACATTGCTTTGCTCAGCCATTGAGAACCTGTTATGTCGCACGCAAGTTCGATAGACCTAGGTCGATAGTAATCATATTCTGCTTGTTAACTTCTCGTCCACATGCTGTCGAGGAGGTTCCTTATAAATAACCACTCTAAGGTAAATCTCCAAGCTGATAATAGATCCCAGATAATATGGGAGTAACTATTCCTGTTGTACGTCAGCTTTGTGTCAGCAGGGGCTCCTTAAAAACTGTGTAATCTCATTAAGATTTTTTTAGTATAACAGCTAATGTTTGAATGTTGAGCATCTGGAGAATAGCAATGTATGGAGTTTTAACATTGTGCATCATAACATGACAGTCACAGAGCATGCACATAGTAGATAGCATTTAACACCTGAACCAACCTCAAATAATGAGAAAGAGAAACCTTGAGACTAATTCATTTATAAGATCCTAACTTCTAAATCCTATTCTCTATCATGGACTATTGCAATCAAAGGTAAATAAGTTTACTCTCCCACCATGTCAGAACTACAAATAGATATGGCGACTACAGCGTGCATCAAAACTAATAGCTCCACATCTTGATTCATTGATTTATCTGCTCTTTCCACTCTTGCCACTATTCCATTCCTTCCAATCATTGTCTACGTGAGTTTGAGCCCATTTGACTGCAGCACGTGCAGCCTGCGGTCCTCCTGGTAAACCTCTCTCGTTTATAGTATCTGCCATATCGATGAATGGAACGACCATGAGTGTTCCTGGACCACCATACTCGGCATGCAAGAAATCGTTGAGAATCTGTTTCAAAGTATCATTTGAGCAAAACATATTTCAGCATACTTTCAGATCTTGCAATAGTTTCAAGCAAGAAACAAAAAGAGGAGCTGGAAAAGTTTCAACAAGCAAAAGCATCTTGGTCGAGGTTATTCCAAGGAGAAAAAACTGCACACAAGATCATACAGCATTCAGTTAAAATGGGAAATCTTGTGCTACACTGTGGTTCCCTACTTTGGCTATTTTCTCAAAAGAAGATTCTAGTTCCAGTTTAGACGGGTCCAAACAAACCGGAGTACAACGTTCAAACAATGAGTGAACTGCATCTCTATCCCATATTAGTCGGAGTTGGCTTGTATATCTCTGTCCCACATTAGTTGAAGTTGGCTATATGAATTATATGTACTTTTTCTGCTCTATTCAGATGCAGTTACGCCAGCAGCAAAGTAGGCACAGATAAAATGCATAAAAAAATTATTGAGAAATTAAACAAACAAAAAAAATCCCACAAAAAAAAAAAGAAAAAAAAGCTAGAGGATAGGGGAAGTACCTCAGTACAGATTCCGACAATTTCATCAATAGAATCTCCATAGAGATCCTTCTTTTTTGGAAGTTTCTTCACTAAATGATCCCTGAACTTCTCTGTTTCCTAAAACCCCACGAAACCCCAAATAAAACATCCAATTTTTATTTTTTTCACAAACGGGGAAATAAAAGAGACCCAACTAAAATAAAAAGAAAAAGAAAAAGAAGAAGAAAACTCACAGCATCAGCAAACTCAGGAATGGGGTCAGGGAATTTGTATTCAGCAGCTCTGCAAATGAGGTTTCTACTATTGCTGTGTTTTAAGATATTGGAAGAAACCCAAGTGGAAATAGAGGTATATGAGGAAGAAGCTGAAACCCAATTGAGTGAAGTTGAAAATGGAAGATATACTGAGGGCAAAGAAGAAGAAATAAGAATGGATGAGGAGACAAATGGTATAGCCGAAGCCATCTTACTTCTCTGCTGCCGCACCCAACGCTACACTTTTTTCTTATCTACTCCCACTATTTTTCTGCTTAACATCTTATCGGAGACAGTTTAAAATCTTAATTAATCCACTGATGCTGGAAAGAAGTATTTTAGACAACCGAGATATTTAAAAAGATTTATACACATGACATTTTTTTTTAATCGAAATATATATATATACTTTTTCTCTTATTTTACCTGAGAGATATTATACCGACTTCTCTATAACAATATCGCTATATAATAGTCATTAAATTTATGGAACCAATTTCATGTTATGTGTTAAAATTCGGAGCAAATGAGGCTATTATAGAGAGGTTTGACTGCACTTCACTCTATTCTAAGTACAAATTTACATTGAAAGCATATAATTTCTATAGATAATTCGTGTATAACAGTAAAACCTTATTTAAAAAATAATTGGCAGAAAATTTTTCAAGAATGAGTAGGTAATTTTTTTTAAAAGAAAAAATTTCTACATGCATATTATCCTCTACAAAGTTCACTTGTGAGACGATACTGGATATGTTGTTAGTTGTTTGAAAAGGAGAGAATGAATAACCTATTTGTAATCCTTCAAATTACATTGAACTGTCAATTTTTTTAATACTGTGAATATAAACTCGGGTCTATAGTTTTTTTTTTTTTGGTTGACATTTTCTCTTTTTTGTAATTCTCCCCTTTAACATTTCCCTGCAGTTTGGAAGCAAATGAACCACAAATAAAAAAAAAATCGAATCTTTATTTAATAGGTATTCTCTTTCCTTTTCTTCTTTTGTGCTTTCTTAAGGAGATTATTTTCTCCAAGGGCATAGGTATTAGAGTTAGATCTTGAATAGAACAAGAAATTATAAGGGTACACTTGTCTCTTTTTTCTTAGAAAAAAAAAGGATGCACTTTGCTCTCTCAAGAAATATGGAAAAGAAATGCATTATCATTTGGTTCCATGACTTGAAAAGATTTTACCTATTCTGCATACATACATGCCTTTGGATACATAAGTTTTACATCTCATACATTTTGTTCAAACACAATTCAGAAAATCAGCTTTGATCAACTTGGAGTTCTGGTATCCAGTGTTGATCACCAAAAGCTAGCAAAACTGGCACAGCTACAAGATCAAGTCTGCGTTGGGGATCTCACAAGTTCCTTTCATTCGGCTCTAGCCAGGGAAATCCGAGGAAATCAAACACTTGCTTCTCCGTATCAAACTTCAAGCTTGCACTACCTTTAGTCTGTGCATTAGACGCCGTATCAGACCAACATGAAAAATGAAGAAAAAAAGAAAGACAGGAACAAAGTGAAACTTATGTTTCAGCAACCAAGCAAACTATATACCCGTTTTCCACCTGAACTATGAGTAGCTGGAAATAGCCCTGTATCATCTAAATGGAAGCCCTTGGATTCTGCTAATAATCTAAGCCTGTAATAGAAATTGAAAGATCAATTAGATTATAGATAAATGCCGAAAAGAATTGGTATAGCTGGGGTAGCAAGTAAAAGAGGCATACCTTCTATTCAAGACGTCATTCCCAGTCCATGCTATCAGTCCAAATGCATATATATCCCTTGGATACACCTAACAACAGAAAGTCAGAGGCTACAACTTTTACATATAAGAACTACTCGTACATGTTATTTCCAACAGCATCTAATGAACAAACATAGATCCAGATCGTGCACTTAACGTACGACAAAAATTGTCAACAGTTAATACTTAATAGGACTCAAACCAATATGAGACAAAAGCTATTCTCAAACCAAGCTACTCTTTCCTGATTATTTTTCAGTTTATTCATGAGAACGAAGACCGGTGATACTCTGCATCTCATATATCATAAAGATTTCTATTTGGCATTGTTTTTGGTAAAATAATTGCAAAAAAGTTCTACATACTTATCATCAACTAAATTGACCACTACATCTGTAAAGCACCAAAAATATTGAGAAATGTGTATTTTTAGCCGCTCCCAAAAATAATCGCCTACAAAATGTATAATGTTTGTATATTTGTGTACTATATACATATAATATACGTATTTATATACTTTTTGGCTAGCAAATGCAAATAGCTTCGGCCAACCGGCCAAATTTATATTTTGCTCAAATATATAGTGGAACAAGGATACTCATCATATTTGTCATCAATTAAATTACCACTAAATCTGTACGCAACCAAAAGTATCTGACGGATGAAGATCATTGCTTGACCAAACAAATGACATCTCATCAGTATACCTTAAAGTCAATGCGATGTCGCAATTCTCGGCCAGGATAGGTGCAGAGCCCAAAATATGTGTCAACTCCTGAATCTGTACCCTGCGATCAGATGAAACATTACCTTTAGTTTGGCACTTGGACAAGAAGAAAATTGAAAGGAGATAGAACTATATCAATTAGAAGAATTAACCTAAATAGCCGCCTTTCCAACTGCTTAAAACTAAAAATAGCCGGCGAATGTATACTTTACGCGTAATCCATGTATTAATGAGTATAACCATGTATAATTAGTGTTTAATCTATGTATACTGACTAGGAAAAGTAAATAGTCAATTCGGTCGGTTATTTGTGTAAAGATCCCTATCCATTACTGTATTAACTATTAATTTTATTTTCATAAAGAACTCCATGAAAACTATAGCTATGAACCCACAAAATTCTTTGAGCAGAGAACGTACTTTATATGTGCGTGTCGAAAGAACAAAGCAAATGAGTGATATATCACATAACATTCTGTGTCAAATTCCCTAGCATCAGCTACATTCTAGATAATAATAATAATAATATCTGAAAAGTTGGACTACACTTAGCTTGAGACTACTGAAATTCGCATTTGTCCCCCTGTGACAAAAGAAAGGCACAAAAGACGAAACATGGCACCAAGCTTTGGATTGACAAGATATATGACTGACGATTTGGATTGACGAGGTCACCCATAGAAGTGGAGTTAATATTTTCTACTCTACCATGCAAAAAGAACAAAATAGACTGCCCGAGTGCAGTGCACCTAAATAGACGCCTAAACTTTAATAAAAGGGAGAAAGAACAGAAGGGATATTGGAAGTTTAAAAGCTCCAATTTGAAAAAACATACAAGCTCAAAATGAAAGGTTGCAGAAAACGTGACTAGTAAGAAAGCATGAAGATGAAAAATTGAAAACTGAAAATACGTAATTACCTCTGTGCTATGAACACTGAAGACCAGATCTTCTCTCAAAAACTTCATGTCTTTTAGACGTTTTATAAACTTAGGAAGAAAGCCTATATGACTGAAAGAATGAAGCGAAGTAATCATATTTCAAGTACATATCTGAAATGAATTTGTCATGAGAATAAGATTTATAACAAAATTGTAGAATCTAAGCACAAATATTTACAGTGGGAATCCACAAGCGGGCCAAGCAGAAACAAGCAACATGGTGGGTTGTGGGGCTACAAGCGGAAGATAAAAGAGCAAATGGAGAAAATTTGAAAACCGAGAAAGAAAGAGCCATCAAGCACATACTTATAGTGATACTTAGAAGGGCCTACCTGGGACCTGAAATGAAGACTCTGCTAGAAAATATAAAATAAAATCAAACATTTCATGTTCCTCTTACCAGATGAAACCCTCTCCACTGGCCACTTGGAATTGAACAGTCAAATAACCTTATGGATTATTACAACTTCAACTCTAAATCATATATCAAGTAAGGTTTAAATGGAATTGTGAAAAGAAACATGGACTGGATTCTGGTTTTTGATCAAATGAAATCCCAAGTAGGGCAGGTAAAAAAAATTGCAGTGTGAGCATTTAAATACTGGAAGGCATAAACATTCAAGCACACCAGCAACCCTCAAAAAATATGCTTTTCAAACCTACAGCATCATACAGAAAATTCATTTCATTTTCATTATGAGTACGCCGAGGGTCTATCGGAAACAACCTCTCTACTTTTATAGGAAAGGGGTAAGGCTGCGTACACACTACCCTCCCCGGACCCCATGTATGAGATTACGCTTTTTTTTTTTTTTTTTTTTTTTTTTTTTTTTTTTTTTTTTTGTTGTTGTTTCATTATGAGTACGAAGTTTCATGTTTTCTCTATAATTTATGAGGAAAGGAATCAATCCAAAAGCAGTTTCATGCTTCCAATAGAATAATTTGTCAAACTACCTTTGGATTTCATAGAGAAAAGTTAACAATATAAAGGAAATCTATGCGATAGATAAGCCTTATATTGGGATATGTATACCTAAACAAGAAGTAAAACCAGCACATTTGAAATCAGTCAACGAAAATGGAAGGCGTTCTACGAGATTAATCACGAGTGAGCCTTACCTTTTACCATCAGCATGAGTAATAACAATGTCCATATCACCACAAGAAGACTTTCCACGTCTGTATGATCCTCCACACACAACAATCACCTGAAGCAAAGGATTCATTGTGTAAAGGTTGCATTTACTTTTTTGCAGTTTTACAATGAAACTACATTTACTTATCAAAAAAAAATGTTGTGTGTTCTTGCTCTGGTGCTTGGACTTTAAAGGAAAAGGTAAACAAAGTGTCTAGCTTGTGAACAATTGGTGTAAACTTGGCAAGTAAAAGACAATTCACAATAGCTTTTGACCCAATTAGTTTTTCTTAATAATCTTGGTCTTCATGCTTATTAGTTTGACCAGCATCAACAATCCTTTTGCAAATGGGACCATGTCTGAGGCCCTCCATTCCACTAATTCTCAAATACCTTCAAGCTTATAAGCATTTCTTTGCACTTCAAGACTGGAATGAGCAATTTCCAGCAATTGGTACATTAACACGTACATCATCAAGGAGTAGGCGAAGTGCCACCAATTTACATGAAGGTATCATTTAACAAGTAATTGGACAAAAGCCTTACACTGGGCAAAATTTCCTCTCCAACTTTCTGTAGTAGACGTTCCATCTCTTCAACCTACATAATCAGTCATCGCTTTTTAGAAGAACCAGTAAGCAGTCATGATTGAGAAAACTGCAAAGAATAATAGGCTACCTCATGCCGTGGAATCCTGGTTTGAATGTCATCAAAATATTTCAACCCTAACCTTTGAGAATGAGTCAATGAATCCTCAT